AGGTTCATCCTCTGTTTAACATGTTATAGTTCAGTGTGGCCCTGCAGACCAACATTCCAACAAATATGCAAATACAATAAAAAGATCAAGCAACTAAAGTCAGAGAGATCCTATTTTCCACTCTACTTGTATAAATCATTTACCTTTTTAAGTGACTTTGCACCTCTGAGTGTGCTGTGCAGTGCCTGAATGTGCACCACTCTGCCCATTATATTTTTTAGCATGATTTATTTTCATTAGCGCATTCTGTGTGCGTTTTAATCAGCTGCAGCACAAAACCTGCTCTACATTTTGTGGCCTAATTTTGCTACACTTTGATGTCAGCAGTTTCCCTCTCAGACTGTCGAAGCTTCACTCACCCATTCCTCCCTCTCAGAGAAGATTACTGGCAGTATCTGGCCACCACCGTGTTAAATAAGGAGGTTCAGGGTCATGGAAATTTCCCCAGTTCACCATGGATCAGTGTGGTTGAATGCCTTAGAGGGGATCCTGCTGCAGTACTGGAGAATCATCCATGTAGGGTTTTATGTTAAGATATAATAAAGACACGGGGATAATGTGATTTGAATAAGACCCGTTTTACTCCCATTTCACCTCTCTTTTCCCAAACTATCTCTTTTATTCTCATTGTCCTCGCTGACCCAAATACCCGTCCTTTCATCCAAAACATCTCATTCTCTCATCTTCCTCAACATATACTTACTCTCCTCTCCCTTTGGTGTGCAGTGCCTCTGTCATGCTCTGAGGGATTCACAGAACTGGGATACTACAACGGCACCGTGTCGCAGACGGACTCTGGTGCCCCCTGTCTGAAATGGACTGAGTTTCCAGACTATGTCATGCAGTACCCGGGCCGCGGCCTGGGTGACCACAACTACTGCAGGAACCCGGATCGCGAGTCCAACCCGTGGTGTTTCTTCCGACAGAACTCAGGAGCAATTGGCTGGGCCTACTGCGACTGCCACCAGGGTATATCCACAGACACTCTGAACAGTTCATGCATGATTAAAAACAAGTTGACCTTTAAATGATTTCATTCCACGTTTAGTGCTGTACTCATTCCCCCCCACAAGGTTTTCACACCAAAAAGAAGGGAAGATACTCTTTTATGTAAAAGACAATATCTGCAAAACAACTGCAACAATTCAAAATCCAAAGAAATTTGGTGTGTAAAGATAAAATTCTATTGATACTTGGCATTCATGACTGATTAATGACTGAACTGCAATAACGTGTCGACCCTTTATGCACAAGTTCCTTAAACTGCATTATTTTAAATGTCCAAAAGGGGAATATGACGCTGTTTTTCATTTTATTTATTATAGTAAACATTTTCCTGATGAGTTTATATTCTGAATACAAGTTTGAAGAGTTCTTTAAATCAGCAGGATGTTCATTTTGTAAATTGTGGCTCCAGTTACAGTAAAACAGTCACAAACCGAACCCCAGTTCCTCTTGTAATGGAGAATAATTTCTAAATCTGGTTTCTGGCATGTAAAATCTAAACTTTCTATATCAGTATTACTCAATTTAAAAATAAGCCTCTGACTGGCTCAACAACCAATTTCTAAACTGATTAGAGTTCCAGGTATAAACTATTTCAAATGTTACCAACATGGTCTTTCTATCAACTTAATGTATTTAATAGAATAACTGCTTTCAAACCCATGTGATTATTTACACTCACCTGACACTGAGGGTCCCACTTTTTTCCTTCACAACTGCTTCAGTGGTTTGTGGCTCAAATTCATCTAGATGTTGGAAACAATCCTCAGAGATGTTGGTACCTATTGACATGATAGCATCACATTAGTGATGTGAATCTCCTGTTCCACCACATTCCACAGGTGCTCAGTTGGACTGAGATCTGGTGACTGTGGACTCACTCAGTCAGTTCAAGAAACCTGTTTGAGAATACCTGATCTTTGTGACTCAGCACGTTATCCTGCTGGAATGCTTTCATGTTGTTTACAAAATGTTCTCACACTAACATGTGTGTGTTGCAGCAGAAATCAAGACTCAATAGACCAGGCAACGTATTTCCAATCAAATGCAAACTGTAGCCTCTGTTTCCTGTTCTTAGCTGACAGGAAGGACACGCGGTGTTTTCTTCTTCTGCTGTAGTCCATCTGCTTCAAGGTTCTACATGTAGTATGTTCAGAGATACTCTTCTGCATACCTTGGTTGTAATGAGTAGTAGCAGGACAGAGGTACACGCTTCTGCTCACTACATATTTTTTCTTTTTTAGACCAGTCTCTGTAAACCAGAGATGGTCGTGTGGGACAATCCAAGTAGGTCAGCAGTTCCTCAAATATCAGCCTGTCTAGTACCAACAACCATGCCACATTCAAAGTCACATTTTATCCACTTTCTGTTGCTCAGTTTTTACTTCAACAGTATTTTGATTAAATGTACTGAGTTGTTTCCACATGGTAACAAAGTGTCTGTTGAGTTAATTTTATCTGATAAATGTAAATGCTTTTAAAAACAAAACAAAACAAAACAGGCCACTGGTTTTGTGTCATCTTGTAAAACTGGCCTGCTGGGAAAACAAGTTTAGTTTTGTATAGCTATATATTTGCTATGAAACAACAGACAGCCACAGATGATTACGAGCTGTTGGATGTATTGGAGGGATTAGCATTTGAAGAGACAGATATTCCCCTCTGGACAAACGAGTTTAAAGGATGACTGTTGGTTTTAGATACACCTGAAACCAAACTTCAAAGGAATGCTAATGTTTGTCTGCAGGATGTGTCAACAGACAAGTGCTTGATAAAGTGATGTAGAGGTGTTCAGTGCTGAATATTGAATCAAACAGTGGAGGTCTGCCAGAGATACGATCACAATCTAATAACTGAATCATAACAAACACCTTGATGAGCGGTTAACCTCACAGTATGTGTGATGCCTGTGAAGACGAGTTTGTACTGAACTTATTTGGGTTATTATGTCAAAATTATGTTTATTATCTACTTGCCATTGTAAAATTTTGAGTTTTCTGATCATTAAAATTTGCGTGTTTGTGATTTTAGGTGCTACACGTCTGGTTGGCAGCTCGATCTCTGGCAGCGGTCGAGTTGAGGTTTACCTGAACGGCCAGTGGGGAGCAGTGTGCGACTCTCACTGGACGGACCGGGATGCCAGTGTGATCTGCAGACAGCTGGGTCTGGGGTAGGTCGGATGAAACATCTGCTAAGAGTTACAGTGACGTGTGACTGATGTAAAAAGTTCATTCTCACCGGTGACGTTTCTATTTTCAGCGATATCGGCACAGCGTTGCAGCACTCTCAGTTCGGCTCGGGCTCTGGCCTATTTCACTACGAACGTCTGGGTTGCCGCGGTGATGAGAACACCCTGAGTAAGTGCCGGAGCAGGATGTTCGTCACTGGTGACTGTAGCCATGGAAACGAAGCAGCAGTGGTGTGCGCACCACCAGAAGGTCAGTGTGACTTCCACAATGTCGTGGCAAACGCACCTGAATGTTTCGGCCCATACATAAGAGGCACAGAGCGATTCGGTTCCAATAAAATGTGTGTGAGAGCATTCAAGGTGGATGCTGCTGGATCTCATGCCATCTTTTAAACTCCTCTCAGGCAGTGGCCCTCCTCTGCGACTGGTTGGAGGTGAGGAAGACTTTGAAGGTCGTGTGGAGGTGTTTCATGCAGGAAGGTGGGGCTCTATCTGCGATGACCAGTGGGACGACAGGGATGCAGAGGTGGTGTGCAGACAGCTCGGTTTTGGGTACGTTCACACCTCCACCACAACTAGATAAGAGATGTATGGTAACATTTTGATCTTTGCCTAGTTCAAAGGTTACGTTGTGAGCCTCAGGCCACAGAGACACCTACTGTAGTAGGAGAGCCACAAATGTACAAATGAAGAAAGCAAACACAATGCCTGTTTTAAATTGGCTTTCTATCCCCTTTAAGGTCTTCTCCTT